CCCCACTGTGCGCGTTGTGAAAATCTTCCCGCTCGTGCTTCTGGGGGTCGGTACTGTACCATGCACCCGAAAACTCGTAACATTTTTGTGCTGCCATGTTTCCCTGTCCACAACAGATGCGGTGATGCGTTGTTCGGAAGTGAAGACGACGACATCAAGTTGTGTAGCATGACAGCGTGGTCCATTGCTGCACGCCACTGGTGGTTGGGTAGCCGCATGTCACGTAACAGTTTGCGCATGTTGTTCTGCAGAGTCATGTTCATTCTTTCTGCCACACCTTGCTGCTGATGGGCGTAGGGAAGAGAGAGGAGCTGCTTGATTCCCCTTTCCACCAGGTAGTGCTTGAATCGCTGAGAGGTGTATTCTCCCCGTCCGTCTGACTGGAAGCTTTTCAGTTGTGCGCCCGACTCTCTCTCTGCTACTGGTAGCCAGGCAGCGAAGGCTGCGAGTGCCATGTCGCGGCTGGGTAGGTTAGGTGCCAGACATAGCGGGTGGCGGCGTCGGTGAAGGTGATCGTGTAGTTGTATGTAACTTGTCCTGGTTCCTGATTGAACAGGATATCGTTGTACACCTTCTCGAGTGGTGCGTACACGGGTGCGCTTGGGTTGTGATGAGGAATGAACGGCCGGTGTGGTAAGTCGGCTTCGAGGCAGGTAAGGCAAGTTCCTCGTGCCCGTTGAAGTTCTCTGCCGTCGGGTAGTAGTAATGAGTCATTGTGAAGGACTCCTGCTCTTATTGTGTTGTTTAACACAGTGTTGCTTGGGTGTCCCATGCGTGCGTGCCAGATATCTTCGGAGGCGCGGTGTCCGGGTGAGCGTCGATACGCGTCGGAGTTGGAGTAGAAGCTGGCGATGAAGTTTGTGCTTCTGTGGACTTCCCATTGGGTCGGATTCAGCTGCTGTGCGGGTGTTGGTGGTGCTTCGTCAACGAGGACTGGTGTCGTTGTTCCTACTGCTGCTGACGATGTCTCTGCTGCTGCCGATGATGTTTCTGCAGCTGCCGATGTTGTCTCTGCTGCTGCCGATGTTGTCTCTGCTGCTGCGGATGATGTTTCTGCTGCTGCCGATGTTGTCTCTGCTACTGCTGATGTTGTCTCTACTGCTGCCGAATGTTGTATTGTTACTAACGCACATGTTCGTTCTGCTTCAAGAATGGTATGTGAATACCAGAAGCCTTCCGGACTGAAGTCGGGGTCGAGATCCGGCGGGTGCGTCCAAGATGTGAAGGTGACGATCCCGTCACTGTCTGCGGTGCCCAGGTCTGGAACGAAGTCGAGGACGAAGACATTGTTCTTCAGGATCGCCTTTCCGATGTAGAGGCCGCCCTTCCCGTGGTACAGCTTGAACTCCTGGGTGGTATTGTCGGCTTCCATATGTATGCCTTTCGCCATCAACTGACTGAGGCTCAGTAGGTTGTAGCCGAGTCCTTCTGCTATCAGGACTTTTGACATTTGTAGTACGACATTCGTCTCCCGTGACTGAAGTTGCACTACCCCTTGTCGTCGTGTGCGCAGGTTCTGATTATTGGCAACAGTGATGACGACTTCTCGTTGAAGTTGGTGCTCGCGTTGAACGAAACGTCCTGAAGAGCACATGTGTTGTCCGCAGCAACTGTCCAAGAACCATGTATCCTTCCCAGAAGGCTCGCTTTGGGCGATGGCGGCGTACGTCGGGTTTGGTTGGAGTGACTCGCGGCGAGGCGTACTGTTGTCGAGTTGTTCTTCTGGTGAGTAATATGGTGGTGACTCAGTTATGCATGAGTCACTCAGCCTTGCCATGCAGCTGACGATGTTTCTTTTTTCTTTTGCAGGTTGTCCCGTTGATGTTGTTGAGACGTGGACTGAGGTTGTCGGGTTTGCTTGCGTTGAATCGACTTAACTGCTTGAAGGACGAAGTTGGCGTTGTCGATTTGGGCAGTGCGTATGAGGATGCCCTGAAGTCTTGCAGATGTGGTAGAATGGAGGTACTGGCTTCAGTTGTTGCTGCCGATTGTTATTGTTGTTGTAGCGTCGCTGGGTGTGGAACGCGAACTCTGGTGCTGACGTCTTCTTTTTATGTCATTCTTCTTGCAGGTCCATGTCTTGCTGCTCAGCATGGATTTCGGCGCAGAGCGTTGCTTCGGGGATTCTCCCGTGAGCTCGGAGGATGGCCTTTGTGGCGCGCCATTGAGGACCGAGGCCACCGATGATGACTGTCACGAAGGCGTCTTCAGAGATCGACCCTCCGCATCGAAGAAGCTTGTCGCGCAATTCGCGACATCGACTGATATACGCCAGTCCTTTCTCCCCTGGTTTCATTTCAATTGTTTTCAGTTGCGCCATTAACCGACTTTAACTTACATTGTCTGTTGCTTGATACAGGCTCTTCAGGTGGTTGTACGCGAGCTTCGCGGAGTTACCGTAACCTCGGTAGGTCCTTATGTTCTGCTGTTGAGTCGGGGTGATATTTCTCAGTAGGATCGTGTACGCCATCATTGACTGATAGGTGTACTGCTGATTCTCATACTGTGTGTCGTTTGTTGGATATGGCAGGGTCCCGTCGAAGAATTCGAGTATCTGCGCGCCTTCCATCAACAGTTCAAACTCGAACGACCACGTGAAGAAATCCTTTCCATCGAAAGGTCTTGACGTCTGCATCTTTAGAACATGTGCGAACTGCGACTAAACTTGCAGTGCGTCCAGTTGTTTTTCTTGTCCAGGTGAGGGCTGTGGTTGTGGCATGAAGCTGATGGATCCGCGCTCGTACGGAGCAAAGGTAGGCTGTTGTTGCTGGTTTCCCCGTGCATATGATGAGCCGTCGAGACTCATGGGTGTTGCTCCGTTGTTGTTGCTGTTGTGTGATTGCGCAGGTCCTCCTTGCTGATGCTGCTCATAGAAGGACATGAAGGAGAAGAATTTCTCCATCATGCTTGGATCGAAGCCCACGCCTTGGTTTGCGGGTGTTTCAGTAGACCCAGCTGCCGGTCTCGTTGTTGTCCCTTCCTCTGTCTGTAGGCCAGAGGCAGGAGGTGGAGTAGGAGTAGTACCAGGAGAGCCGTTGGAGGAGCTCCTCTCCTTTCTAGTAGACATATCTCTCGGTGTATTAAGTATTGAGGAGAAATAATTTAACTCTAACTTGCTCTAATACCATGTTCGGCTGAAAGCCCCTTTAGGATCTTTGGTAGAGTTAAAGTCTGAGTAAAGTGATGCAGTTGCGGAAGCGTTTTGAGTAAAGTCCTTGAACCACCTTGCGCTAGTATGTGAGGGCAAAGTAAGTTGATTAAAGCAAAGAGATACAAGAATATATATATGAATACAGAGAATATGAAAAGACATAATTATAACTACTTTACTGTTGCGGTTCGATACAGTGCGACTCGGGCAACTGCTCAATGTCGAGTCAGTTGTGTGTCTTCCTGTCGCGCTGCTTTTGTCATGTCAAAGGTCGCTGACCTTTGACTTTCGCGTAACCTCCAGCAGTTACATCAACCTCCGAGGGTTGACTCACTGGTGCCTCGATATGCGCTGCTTCGCTCGTGTCTTGGTTTTTCGACACGACAGAGGCGCTTAGGATTATTTGTTCCCAACAGAATCAACTTTTTGGCCTCCATAGAGTTATCTGTTCTTTCGTGAATCTGTTCTCATACGGTGTTGACTGGTATGCTTGTGTGGAGTATTTGTTGGGGAAGACGCTGGGAAGTACTGTAGGTGAATGGAGAATTTCACAGAAAGTAACAGGACCAAACTCCTAAATATAACGCCGACACAAACTGTCGGTTATAGCACTTCAAAACAAAGTACATTCTGAAATCACTCATTGTAACGCATCCGCTCAAAGCGAGTACGCCCAAGGGTCTCGCAAAAGCTGACCTTCATGTTCAGGAAAAGGCAGGCAGGCAGACTGCTCCAGTTGGCTGCTGCCAGTGCCAGCGTATGGTCCGCTGACCTCAGCAGCACTTGCCTTGTCCCTCCCTCCCTCTCGCTACCAAACCGCTAACGCACCACAGACCGTATATAATCCTCCCCGTAAAAATACCGCAAGATTGGTTCCGTTTTCAGTCTTGCTCGAGCCCCAGCATTCGAACTCAGTTGCTTGCTAGGTCAACAATGTCTTCCCCTTCTGTGAATCTGATTGGATGTCCAAGCTTGGAGGAAGGGAGCTGCAGCCAATGGCTTCGTCTTGGTCCTAGTTTCTACTACTACAGTACTACACGAACTGTCAACTGTCGAAACGTTCTTGTTTCAAATGGACAGTTGTTATGGTCACGGCTGGCAGGTCATCACGTGCCTTGTGTCACATGACGGTGGCTCCTTCTCAAAAATCGTCGTCTGATGATGTTACGTGACACACCCAGTTCCATACAGATGACAGTCTACTAATACTGTACACCGTACGGTTGACTCGGTTTCTCTCCTCGTAGTGGAGGGCGTTTAATGCGGGAGTGCCGGCCTGGCAGAGGCTACAACCACAAGCCACCAGCAATGATTCCTTTCATTCCGCTCCCCTCGTTGTCGGTGCCACTTGGCCCACTTGCGTCCTCCTCGCTCGCACCTCTTCCACTGCTGCCCCCCGTCGCACACCTTCGGATGCCGCGCGACTCGAAAGCCTCGCTGCTTGCGCCTGGAAGTGCAATGAGGGGCATCTCTCTGCTGCGGCGGTCAAGACTCGGCTCTGTTGGTAAGCGGCAGAATCAAAGGCGGCCAAGTGCAACCCCAGCTGACAATCAGGCCTCGTGCATGCGGTTGCTGCTCGACCGTACTGAACCGCAAAGATCTTTCTGTCCGTGGGGCCAGGTTTTGAACCAAGATGGTCATATGCAAGATTATTGGGCTCACCTTCCTTTCAAGAGACGGTTAAAAAAATTCAAGTTAATTTCTTGCTATATTATCCTGGACTCTCGTGCCAGCTGAACCATTTTGAACACGTGGTAGTACCGCTTTCAAGAACCGCTTGGTCGCCATGCCGCATTCATCTGAAAACATTGACTCACCGCCGGTTTCGCAACCCTCGTCGCCGCTTGGAATGCAGCCATGGTCGCGAGAGGTGGGTCGCGAAAAGAGCGTTCAGAGAATCTCTCAAGCCCTCCGTTTTTCTTGTCGATGACAGAGCGATTAGAATACCAGTGCGTAGGACACGCTCTGTGTGCCTTGAACCGCGGTCTTTACTCTCACAGCTCATGATGGCAACGCTGTCATTCCCTCCCTCACTCTCACGGCAGGAGGACACGGTGCTGCTGCGCCACGCGCTGCAGTGCGGCACGAAGCAGTGGGGCGAGCTGGGGAGGAGCGGTCAGCTCAAGAGGAGCAACAAGTCGTGCTGTAACCGTTACATCTTCCTCCGAAGGTAACCCCGCATGCCGCGTGCATAAATTCTTGAACTCGGGTTTCTTGATACGCGAGAGCGTTTCGAACACACCTCAGCCTTGTCTAACGCTTCTGCTCTGTGGCCGCGTGTTGATGGCAGGAAGTTCACTCAGCAATTTCGCGAGAGCTTCCTGAGAAATCACCTGGGAGGCGCCGCGTTCCTCCAGGACGTTTCACTGGACGGAAACAGTCTGCCGTTGTTCTGTCAGGATTTCCAGCAGCAGCAGCAGCAGCAGCAGCAGCAGCAGGAGGGCGCGGGTTCAGCTGCCCTTGCGTTTGGAGGGCTGTCGTATGAGGAGTGCACGGCCGTCTTCTTTGCCCCCAACGCACGCTGCTGCCGCCAACCAGCCTCACTCAACCTCTCTTCTGTGACCAGCTCTCCTCCTCATTCCCAAGCCGCCAGCGTCTGTGCTACTGCGGCTGCTTCTATTGCCAAGTTTCCAGTATCCCATGAAGCTTCCCCCGTTGCTGCTGCCTCCAATTCTGCCGCTCGGCGTCGTGCACTGAAGCGTCCAAGGGACGACTCGCCCACGCTGGGGGCACAGCCAGCGCTGCTCGGTGGACGCGAGAGCTGGTTCGTGCCAAGGGGATTCGTGCGAGGCGGAGTTTTGCGAGGCGGGGTGGTGTGTGGCACGGAGCACGGGCATCAGTCAGTGGCAGAGCAGTTCCAGCAGCAGGGGGCGAGCAGCCTCATGCAGCAGGCAGCTGACGAAGCCCTGCTGGAGGCGCTGCTGCAGGAGGAGCATCGGCAGCAGCAGCAGGGAGGAGCGAGGAGTAGGGCGCAGCGGGTGTTGTGGCCGCGCGTTGGGTCGGAGAGTGCCCTTCCAGACGATGTGCTGCTGGGGTGCAACAGTGACGAACCTGCCTTCATCCAGCGCTCTGCTCTGTCTGCTCCTCCACCGACCCTGCCACTCGCAGCGCTGCCAGCGCCAATGCGGCCCCAGCTCGCTGCTCTGCCTGCCTCCGCTCCCTGCATTGGCGATTTCGCAGTGCAGCCAGTGGAGTGGCTCCGCGTTGGGTCAGAGAGCGCCCTTCCAGACGACGTGCTGCTGGGACTCTGCTGCGAGGACCCTGCCTCCTCGCAACGTGCTGCTCTCTCTGCTCCTGCGCCCGCCCAGCCGCTCGCAGCACTGATGCCCTCGCCGCTCACTGGTCTGCCTGGCCCCGCTTCTGGCAGCGCGACCGGGTGCCTTACAGCAATGCTTGTTGGGAGTGCGTGTGGCACACAGGAGCAAGAATACCTGGATGCTTGCATTGACGTGCACGGCAACATAACCAACACTAACAACACTGACAACTGTGGCAAGCACAGTGGCAAGGACAACGGTGCGCTCTTTCTAGACACGCCCATGGCTCACGTGCTGCTGGCTGGGAGTCTCCTCGCCATGCCCTTGGCCAGTGGACCTCACGCTGAGGGGCCTGCTGCCCCACATGCTGCCCCACGTGCTGCTGGAACAGCCCTGCCAGAGTGGGCGGTGGAGCAGGGAGGGACCGGGGAAGGAGGTGCTGAGGGGCACAGGCAGCAGCAATTTCTCGGCCAGGAGGGCATGCTTGCACAGGGGAAGCCTTGTCAGTACCTCAAGCTTGACCGCATGCTCTCCCTGCCACCGCACCAGCCACAGCTGCATTCACAGCCACCACCACATCTACTCCCAAAGCCACTCTTAAAGTTACCGACACAAGCGCCTTGGCTGTCTGCCGCGTCACAGTCACCTCCCTAGATCGTCGTTCCCGAGGCCCCGCGGATTCGCAGTGTCCAACCGCGTGCCACTGTAATTCACTCAGTGCTGATGCTGAGCTGGTAGGGATAGTCACCTGCCTGAATCACAAACCTTGGAGCATGACCGCTACTCATGTCCCGCACCGGCGCCTCCAATGGTTTGTAGACGCCCTCAACTCAACCCCAAGGGGCTCGCACATGCAAGCTCCCATACTTCCACGCCCTGTCATGCTGCTGCAGCCCTTCTCCTCTGGAGCTCTACCATCTCTCTGGTGAATGAGATACTAAAGAGAATGTTCCATAGGGTAAGGAGGGGGGGTACCAGGGTCCTCGACATCAGACATTTTTGTCTGTTTGTCTTAGTTTCCAGACGATTTTTTCCTAGTTAATCTGATTTTCAAGGAATGATTTATTTTTTCATCTGATTGAGTAGAAATGATTTTTTGTCTTCATCTGATTCATCAGAAAATTATAATTTTTGAAAGTGTTTTCACTTTCTAAAAATTTGTATTGTGATAGTGAAGCGATTGCCAACGCAGCAAAGGCAGCGTCGCATCGCTACTCGCCCTCTTTTGGCTACAAAAGAGGGGTTGGAGGCCATATGGCCTCACCCACGTTCTTCTTTTCAGATTTTAGTTTGAGTTCCGCTCAATCTCGTCCAATCTGGCGAAGACTCAGTCACTTCCACGTTTTACTGCTCCGACAACGCTTCTTGCCGACATACTTAAGCACAACATTGCTTCAATGGCGCCCGTCAACAACGTTTCTACTCGCGAAGGAAACAAGACGGCGAACACCCCGGGCGCGCAGAACTCCGGAAGTCTGCCCGGGGCAACCACGCGTCGTGCGAAACGCCCTGCCGAGGAGGCACGCGAGGACCTCGCCACTGGCGTCGAAGTCCTGTTTGGCGCGACCTCCTCGGCGCCTTCTGAGGAGCTTCCTGCCGCGCGCACTGCTTCCAAGCAGCCGCGCGACATGGCGAAAAAGACAGCCGCTGACGCGGCTGTCATCATCGCTTCGGCCGGCCAGGCCGGCCCCTCTGGCGCACGCGACAAGGAGCACGCGCCAGCGGCACCCTCGGCACCCTCGGCCCCTGCTGACGTCAGCCCCCTTGCCTTGACCACTGCGCAGGTCGAGGCACTGCTGGCGATGTTACAGCAGCAAGCACCTGTAACTGCGGGGACTTCTAACAACGACGAAGTTACAGCATCTGCAAAAAATAACAAGAAGGAAGAAAATGTCGTCGCACCTCGCCCGCCTAAGGCCGCTCGCGTCGAAAAGAACCACGCTCCGGCACCCGCCGACGAAGACAGCAACGAGTCCGACGATGCTGCTGGTGAGGCTCCTCGCTGCCGCAATCCAATTTTTTCCAATGCCCCTCGCCCCACACTCCCCTCGCTCGCTCCCTCAACCGCAACTACCACTTTCAACCGCAAGGGTGTGCGTGATCAGGCAGATGTTTTCTCTGCCATCCAAGCCCACCTCAGGCTCATGGAGCTCCAGCTGCAGCAGGGTGACGCGGAAGGAGCGCTCGCCAACGTCACTCAAATCGAAACGCTCATTAACAAGCGCTTCGAGGTGCTCTTGGTGGCGGACGAGGCGGGTTTTGAAGCGGCCGACCGCTTCCAGCTCTACCAATCGAAGAGCGTGCTCACCTCCCGCTCCTACAAGCTAGCCGTGGCAGACGTGGCAGCATCAAAGCGTGCCCGCACGAGCTATAATCGCACCGTGCGGGGTAACGGCCTCGACAACGGGGAAATCGGCAACAAGGGTGTCGGACAAGGCTCATGCCAAAACAGGGCCTTCAAGGGCACCTTCTTTCGCTGTGGCCAGCCCGGGCACATGGCAAACGCCTGCCCCATGGGGGGGCGCGGCGGACAAGGCCCCGCACCCGTGGTGTGAGGAGTAACCAAGGGCGATGCCCCTTTCCCCGCTCGCCGAAAGAGCGTAGGGGACTGCACCAGGGGGTGCACGGCTGTGGAGCAGCCTAGGGACTCAAAGAGGTCAGGGGACCCTTAGATTAAGGCCAGGGTGGCTTATGGATGGCTCTGAAATGTATTTCTTGTTATGAGAAAAAAAAATGTTTTTACTTCCTCATATTTAACCACGGGCTCTTGGTTGGAGCTGCACTTTGGAAATGAAGAGTTGGCAAGGACTTGCAAGTTGTTTTTACTTCCTCATATTAAACCACGGGCTCTTGGTTGGAGCTGCACTTTGGAAATGAAGAGTTGGCAAGCCTACTCAAGGAATGTCAAAAGGAAAAGCCACAAACAATGGCAGCAAGAAGGAAAATCAAGAGGCAAAATCACGGGCAAGCTCGCTCAAAAAAAAAAAAAAAAAAAAAAAAAAAAAAAAAAAAAAAAAAAAAAAGAGGGAGGGAAGGAGCGAGAGGGCAAGGTGACAAAGGGGTCCCAAAAGGAGGGACTGCCATGGGGCAGATCCAGAGGTGCCAAAGCTCGGCACACCCACGCCAAGAATCACAAGAAAAGGCCAAGGAGGGGGGGAGAGAGAGAAAGAGAGTGGAGGAGGTTGAATGGTACGGTGGCACACATATGCCCACGCCTACCCGACCCATCACTAAGTTGGACAAAAGGTAGCCAGCACTGAACGACGAGCTCTGGCCATCACCCCACACCGCAAAGCAAGACACGGAAGGGCGAGGGGATTCTCGCACACTACTCGTAGCATATGGTACGTAGGACCATGATCGCTATTTACTGATTAGCACACTAACGCCGTCTCCTGCATGCATCGTTTGGTACGCAACCGAGAGCAACAAATGGGTAATGAGGGCAACCGACCCATACGAGTTCGCGGTGACAGACACAACTATATTCGTAATGCAAGGCCGACTGCGCCAATCACTCCACTGGTGGTGCTCATGGTGCGATAGCAGCTTCATCTTATCCATCATTGCACGTGGCTACTGGTTCCCATGGAAGAACGAGCCCCCCACGCCCTTTGAAACGAAAAACCACGCCGGCACACAAGCACATGGTGATTTCACCCGAACCACAGTCCAGGACCTCCATCGCACGGGTGCCGCTGCAGAGGCACCCGATCGAGCCGCACTTTCATGTGTTAGCCCGCTAAACGTGGTCGAGCAACGCGAAAAATGTCGCCTCATACTGGATCTTCGCAAGGTCAACGAGCACCTGCGCGTGCCCAAGTTCAAATACGAAGGACTGCTTCGCGTGGCAGAGTTGATCAAGCCGAACAATTGGATGTTCTCCGTCGACCTCAAATTGGGGTATCACCATGTGGATATACACCCAACTTGCTGGCGATACCTTGGCTTCCAGTTCGACGGAGCATATTACTACTTCCGCTCCTTACCATTCGGGTTGGCCACAGCCCCGTTCGTCTTTACCCAACTTATCAAGCAGCTCGCTCGACGATGGCGTGCACGTGGATGGCGAGTGATCCCATACGTCGACGACATCTTAGTGCTATCCGAGTCAGCCCAACAAGCCCAATCGACATGCACCATGATTGTGCAAGACCTAAAGGACTCCGGTCTAGTGATCAACAAGAAGAAGTCCCAGCTGCTCCCCACCCAAGCACTCCGCTTCCTTGGCCTCGAGCTGGACACTCGAAGCTGCACATTCTCGGTGGGAGACGAACGTCGATCTCAACTAAAATCCACAATGGCGACGCTCATTACCGAGGGGCGTAGAGGTCGCCAAGTACTCATCCGCCACGTCGCCCGAGTCACCGGCATGCTCGCATCAATGAGCCTCGCTATGGGAGCAACTGCACGAGCCTTCAGCCACGAGCTGCTCCAAACCATCAACACCGCACCATCATGGAACTCCCGGATATCGCTATCATCAGAGGCAATTGACGAACTGGGCTTCTGGATGGAGCAATTCGACAAGTTCAATGGTGCCCCGTTCCATCAACCGCACCATTACAAGCGCACACAGTTGGGGCGCCACACTCGTCACGTTCCGCGGAGAGAGGAGCACAGCAAGCGCAAGCATGCCCTCACACTTGCCACCCACATCCAGCACCCGGTGGGAGCTGGAAGGTGTTTTGTGGTCACTACGCACCTTCATGCATCAGATCCAGGGTGGCCACACCCTAGTCCGTGTCGACAATCAAGGCGTCATGTTCATCCTACGCAAGGGCGGCTCAAGCACCACCGAGCTCACCCTCACCTGCAAAGAAATCATATCTCTTTGTACGGAACACTCGGTTTGCTTGGCGATCGAATGGATCCCTCGCGAGTTGAACACCCATGCGGACGAGCTCTTCAAGCTGCAAGACCATGATGACTACACTCTGAAACAACCGTGGTTTCGCCTCCTTGAACGACGTTGGGGGCCCCACTCCATCGACCTATTCGCAAACGCTCGCAACGCGTTGTTACCCCGCTTTTGCTCGAAGGTGCCCCATCCCAAGGCTGAAGCGGTCAACGCATTCTCGACGGATTGGGGGGGAGTGCATGTCAGAACATATAGCTTACTTGTTTCTGTAGGCTATAGTGGGGTATCCCATAAGGGGTACAACCCAATTAGGGTTCCCTATTTGTACCCACTTCATTTCATAGTCATTCACTCCCGTTCATTCAGTTTCACATGGTATAGAGCGGGTCCCTTCTAAGGACCGTTTTTTTTTGGGCCCACCCACGATCTTTTTTTTCCTGCCCGGAGCGCGCCCTATTCTCCTCGAGGCGCGCTCCCCCTAGTGCGCGTCGAGCTCCCCTTGTGGCGCCCCGAGAGTCGCGCGCGCGACTCATTTTTTTTTCGCGCGCGCGGCCCGGGCCCCACTTCGCGCGGCCCTTACAGCCGCGCCGCGCCGCCCTCTCGGCTCTGCCGCGCCGCGCCGCCCTCAAGACGGCCGCGCGGCCTCTTCGTCGCTGCGGCAGGCCCCCCCCCCCCCCGCTGCACCTCTGTCGGCCCCGCCGCCGCCTTACCTGACGGCCGCCGCCTCACCTGACGGCCCGCCGCCTCGCCCTCTGGCCCGCCACCTCACCAGACGGCCCTGCCGCCTCACCTGACGGCCCACCGTCTCACCTGCTGGCCCGCCACCTTACCTGACGGCCCCGCCGCCTCACCTGACGGCCCGCCGCCACCTTACCTGACGGCCCCACCGCCTCACCTGACGGCCCGCCGCCTCACCTACTGGCCCGCCACCTGACCTGACGGCCCCGCCGCCTCACCTGACGGCCCGCCGCCTGACCTGCTGGCCCGCCACCTCACTGACGGCCCGCCGCCTCCCCCGCTGGCCCGCCACCTGATCTGACGGCCCCGCCGCCTCACCTGACGGCTCGCCGCCTCACCTGCTGGCCTGCCACCTGACCTGACGGCCCCGCCGCCTCACCTACCGGCTCGCCACCTCACCTGCTGGCCCGCTGCACCCTGACGGCCCCACCGTCCACTGTCCCGGCCCCGCCGCTGCACCCTGACGGCCCCGCCGTCCCTTGTCCCGGCCCCGCCACTACACTGCAGCCGAGCCGCCCAGCAGCAGCCGAGCCGCCCAGCAGCTGCCGAGCCGCTCAGCAGCACCCGAGCCGCCCAGCAGCAGCCGAGCCGCCCAGCAGCAGCCGAGCCGCCCAGCAGCAGCCGAGCCGCCCGGTACCCGAGCCGCCCGAGCCGCCCGAGCCGCCCGAGCCGCCCGAGCCGCCCCACCAGCCCGAGCCGCCTGCTGCTGTCCTACCCGACTCTCCTAGCCCGGTGAGACTTTCAGCTGCTGCCATGGCCACCCCCAATGTTCTTACTTTTGACGCTGAGGGGAGGGCCATTGACTTTGCCGTCTGGATTGAAGACCTGCAGCTGTACTTACTGTGTGATGCGATAGATGAGGTCTCTCTCTTTGACTTTGTCTCTGGCGCTGTCCCTGCCCCGCCTGCTGATGCTGACTGTGCTGCTCGCTCCAAGTGGGCGACCCGCGATGCTGCTGCACGTCTTGCTGTGCGTCGCCACCTCCCTTCCTCTGAGCGTGCCCACTTTAGTCAGTGCAAGACCGCTCAGGCCTTGTACGACGCTGTAGTTGCACGCTACTCCTCCCCTTCCTCCGCTACCCTTAGCCGCCTCATGCTGCCGTTTCTCTTCCCTGACCTCGCTTCCTTTCCCACTGTTGCTGACCTAGTTACCCACCTCCGCGCTAGTGACACCCGCTACCGTGCTGCCCTTCCTGCTGAGTTCCGCGCTGCGAACCCTCCTCCCATGTACATCACTCTCTACTTTCTCGTCATCCGTCTCCCTGAGTCCCTTCGTGTCGTTAGGGACCAGTTTCTCTCTGTCTGTCCCACCACTCTCACTGTCGACCTCCTTGAGGAGTCCCTGCTAGCGGCTGAGAAGAGTATTGTCGCTGTAGGGGCCTCTCGGGGTGACCCTCGCACCCCCATCTTTGAGGGGTGTGGTCCTTCCCCCCTGCTGCCCTCTGTCGCCTCTGCCGCTGCGGCCGACCTCGCTGGTTTTGAGTCGGTCGGCGCGGCGTCTGCCCCCAGCGGCAGACGCCGCTCTGGCAAGGGCAAGGGGGGCAAGGGGGCGGGTGGAGCTAGAGGGGGCGGTGGAGGAGGAGGTGGGGGTGGAGGGGGGAGTGGGGGTGGCGGTGGGGGTGGTGGCGGGAGTGGAGGTACTAGTGGCGGCGGTGGAGGCAGAGGTGGCGGCGGAGGTGGTAGCGGAGGAGGCGGTGGGAGCGGTGGGAGCGACGGTCCTGGTGGGGGAGGTGGCGGTGGAGACGGGGGTGGCGGTGGAGGCGGGGGTGGCGGTGGAGGCGGGGGTCGGAGTGGCTCGTCCCAGCGGAGCAGCTCTGGGGGTGGTCAGCGCCAGCAGCAGCAGCAGCAGCAGCAGCAGCAGCAGCAGCCGCAGCAGCAGCAGCGCTCTCGCACCGTCCCCGGCCCTCAGCAGCTCCGTGAGTGGTACTTGCAGCGTCAGCGCGGTGGTGCGCTTGGT